GGATCAAAAAGAACTTCCCTTTAGCACGAACTTCGATCAAAACTTACAAAATCCGTGATAAACGAGGCTTTTTTAGTGCTCTGCAATCCCACTGACGGTGAAAGGACATGGCCGGAGCTGAGAGGACTCAAAAAAAATTAAAAGCAAAATGTCTTCCTTCCTTTGTTTGAAAGTTTTGAAAAAAAATTCTGTGATCATTCGCTTGACGCCTGCTGGGTGTTTGTATGAGTATTTCTTGTAATCATTACTTTGTTTAAATATAAAAACACTTACGAAGGATAACGCAGTCCTAAAATACTACCGTTTCTGAGAATCGTACTCACTTCCGGTCATTGTTTCTACGCTAATTATCTCATCACTGCGATTTCCTGAACACACCTAAACCGAAGCAAAAATCCTGTTAAGACTTGGATTAGTAAGAAACTTATAATAAAACAAGATTTATGTCTCCAATTACTGTGTTGATGAAGGCAGCGCTGCTGAATTACAGTGAACAAACACTATGAGATTTTAACAAGAACGCTTGATGATAATACCGCGATTGTGCTCCCTAATGACTAATCATGAGAGCTGTGACACGGGTTCGAAAAGCAGTGAAGTAAAGCGGAAGAAAAAAGGTCGATCCACGAAACCTTTGTCATCTATGCAGTGTAGTTTTTAGACAGTTATCTCTTGGCTTGCCGGAAAGGTGTAACAATAAAGGACAGACTGCATACACAGATCTTATGATCTTCAGAGTGTTGAGGGTTGCTGAGCTACATAAGAAGAATCATCGCGCATCTCGGAATTTAAGATCAGTCAGATATCGGTAGAAACTTTATTCCGTGAAAGGGCGAAACAAAACAACAAGGGATACTATCAGCAAATATTGTTCTTCTTAGAATAAATATATTTCCATCCACTGGATCTTTCCGAGAAGACGACCCCTGACCTCAATGAATGGGTTGTTAATAAAGTCATACTCTAAATAAAGTCGATGAAGTGTGATTTGACCACAATACTAATAACAAGTCATTATGCATCGGGTAATTTAGTTCGTTTTGGCAAATACGTTTAGCATAACTCGAAACACTTGTAATAAGGATGGAAAAACCATCACTATCACTGCCATTGAGCAGCGAGGCGCATGTTATGTCTCTTGAAGAATTCATCGCACGAAATGTGTCTGAGCTTCCACAGATGGTCCAGGTCGACAAAGGATTTTGTGGAACCTCCGCGAATCAAAGCATTAAAACTGGAGACGTACTGATCATCTACAAAGTGGAAAGAGAGAGGAAAGTAAAAGCAAAGCATTCAAGTAGTGGGAGAACGCTCTGCTTGCCAAGAATAAGTGATTTGAAGTTAGAGTTGGTGTCAGAACATTCCCAAGATGAGTTCACCACTTTGGACGCGATTGCAAAACTTCCTTCTGCGGCGTTCATTCGAATTGTCGAGAACGTTCCTTTGTTCGGCCTCCTCGCTGGAGATATATTGCAAATCAGTCGAGACCCCCCGTATTTAAACCTTAGTACTGTACGATGTTTCATCGTAAACTTAAAAGATCCCGTACAAGTGGATTTACCTCTGACCCTGGAAGGAAGGTTTCAGGTCCTCGCTAATCATGGAATATTTACTACAGACGAGGTTCTACAGAACTGCACACTTCCAGTTAATGTCCGTGTTGTGTCTTATGGAAATAAAGCTATGGTTGACGGCTCTTCAGAACACCCTCGAGCAAAGCAGAGGTCAATATTCGGAAAGATTCTCGTGGAGTGCGAGATTGAAGAAGAAGTAGTTTATGCCATTTCGACTCGCGAACAGAATATTCTTTTAATGTTCCCATCGACACTAGACATGAATGTTGCCCAGTGTATGTCTCGAGAGAGGTTTACTTCTCGCTGGGGAGCTGAATTCGAGAAGCTGCTAGAAGCATTACCGAATGAAACAGTTCTACATGAGTTATCAAACACAAACTGTATTTCCTTTACGAGTGATCCCGTGAAGAGGTGCTCTTTGGAGTCGTTACAGCATTTTTGTTTCCCTTTCGATTGCGCACAAGGAATAGAAACAACAGAAAGGCAAGTTTCACGAGTCGGCTTCGAGTTTGCCCTTGATCCTCCCTCTATGAAAAAAGAAACTGCAACGAAGGAGAAAGGCTTTCAGAAGTTTCAGCCAGAGAGCTTCTCGGAAATGAAAGCACCTCCCCTTCCGCCAAAGGTGGCCTTGATTGCAACACGATCCCATGCTTCTTCCCAGGAGGACTTAACAAAGAATTTTGACAACAAACAAGAAACTGAAATGGAAGAAAATTCTTTTGAAACAATAGACAAGCAGGTAGTATTATCTGAACAAAGTCTGACGAATGACTTAAATGATGATAGTTTACCACCGAGCCAGAGCTGTGTTAAGCTACTAGAGGACATGTCACAACCGCAGGAAGGGTCAAAACACAGCGACGTAGGCGACGTAAACTGTAAAATGCAAATTTCAGGAGACATTCCCTATGAAAGTGAAGAACCTCTGTTCTTGGCATCCTTCACAAAAAGAAAAGCTTACGAACCATCCGTCGACAGAAATGCAAATGTGCCTTCAGATGAAGGTTTACCAGTTGAAAGAAAACGCGAGCAATTCTCAGTGCGCGTTTTACGACCGGCGCAAACAGGATCTGATTTACCACGCCGCGAACACGGAGCACTTCCTGAGGCAACAGACGACCCCCTAAGTTCGAGAGAAAAGGAGGCCGATCTGGATTTGAACTTTGAATCTAGCGAGGCAAATACAAATAAAAAGCATAATATGCAGAAAGATGAGGAAGCCTCCTCTGAACAAAGTGACGAGGAAAACAACAATTTCGATGACCTCGACCCTGATTGTTCCAAAAAGATGTTCTTTGAACACACAGAAAACGATAACGAAATTTCATTACCGAGTCTTGGAGCAAAAAGCAAAGAAGAACACCGCATGAATGGAGAGAGCACAAAGAGAAAGTTCTTTCAGTCGCTGACGTTAATGCCAAGAATGTTCCGCCAAGATCCTAGCAGGGCGGGAAGAAAGAAAGAACAGGCTCCGAAGGAAAAAAGCAACTCGGTGAGAATTCCACCGAGAAAAGCTGCTTCTTGCGACAACATTTTGATATCTAGTCCACGCGATGATGACTTCGAGTCCATGACTAACATTAAAAAGTATTTGGAGACACAGGCAAAATTAGACAGAGCCCTCGTCCAGATAAATCGCCTGCAAAATCAAAGATCAAAGAACTTGGCCACAGGGACCAAACCCAAGAATAGCAATAAGTCGGTGAACGCCCAGGAAACGGGATTGAGAGAATTCGAAAGCGGAGGATCTTCGGAAACAGAAAATGAGGTTGAGGAACAAAATCCTCGAAACGTGTTCCCAGAGCAAACGGGGAAAGAAAGAGCACCACACACACAAGCAAATACATCTGAACAGAGCTCGCCTGCGCCAGAAACCTTCGCCTTAAGACAAGCTACCCCAACTTGGCTGAACCAAAATCCAAGAGAACAAGAAATAAGTGAAAATTGTGAAGGGGAAACCTACGGAAGAAGACCAGAAATACCACACGACAGATCTCCACATTTTGCGATTGAACCAACTGACGCAGAATCCGTAATGCCACTCGACCGTGCTTCACAGCGCGAAAATGGGCGAAGTCATGGCAGCAGCAGACGAGAAAACGACGAAAATGGGCCAAATCCTGGAGATTCCAACGAAACGTGTTGGTCGTACAGAACTCACTTCACTAGCACCTTCGGCGTGGAATTGAATGAATGCGAGATGAAAAGTGAGCTTAAAAAGACCATTCAGCAAACGAAGTGGACCACGGATGAATTAATGGAATTGATCGAAATTCTGAGAAGGAAGCTCCTGGAAGTTAATCGCGTGCCGTACGTCAATCTAGCACCATCACAGGAGAGGCAGAGGAGTCTTTCCGAGGACCTTGTCAACGCACATGGCCCAAGCTCTTTTCCTGCCCCGAATGAGATTACGAGAAAGGATAAACCTCCCTACGTCAATATCAGTCAAGCAAGCGGGGAACCTAATATGGCTTCGCATCAAAATCTCGTGCAAGATTCCAGGGACCCATTCACAGTGAAAGATTTAAAAAGATTACCTAATCGCTCACACGGAAAACCGCCGATACCAACGCCAAGGAGCACACTATCGTCTATATAGCTGTGATACACACAGTTGACGTAGCATTCTTTTGAGTCGTTCAGTAAGAGTCAAGAGGGTGGGCCTTATGTCCTTATAATGCCGTTAAAATAGTAGTGTGGAAGTGTAAATACACCACGACGCAGATAAACTTAAATTGGACCATCATTTCTGGTCAGTGATCGGGTCAAAGCTTATCTATCGAATTATCAGCAGAGGCGGACGAAACTGTTGGCAGAATGCCTCACATTACTCTGATTACAAAGAAGACCGATTTAGTGCGTCAGACATCTTATATACATGTCTTCTAGGACTTGACAGCCATTGTTCCAGATGGCTGCAGCTCGCAAAATTTGCATTAACAAATCACCAAAGCAAATTGTTGAACGGTACAAAGACATTTGAAGGGTGTACGTTAAAATTGATAACATTTAGTATATTTTTATTTACATGCCCATCATAGCCTTTGTTCTACTTGGTTCTTATTTCCTATAATTTACTCCTCCAAAATGGCTCATCAAATCGTTTGAAAAACGCAAACGAGCCACACACTAAAATTTCTATGATCTTAGAGAACGACTTCCATCATGAATTCTTAATGTTAGAGTTTAGGATGCGCCGCGAGTTTTAATATTCACACCGCGACAGTCGTGCCAGGATTTGATACTCGAAGAGTTTTTTTTTAGCTAGCTTTTCGATGACTGTTTCTAGGGTCATCATTGTCACGCAGTAACTGAAAAAAACGTTGGGTGAAAGTCCAAGTAACGACATTTATATCACAAGCTCGGCCGTGAGAAGGTTAGAAATAATAAACTCAATTAGCTGTTCAAAGCGAGATAATCAAGAGATAACCAGGAACACTTTTTTTTAATTAATCAAGAACATTAAGTTGAACAGTGTTGAGAAGATTACAATTAAAAGAGAAATCTAGTCTTTACTTTAGTCTCCTTGCCTCTTCAGCCTGAAAGATAAGAACGGGAATTTCACACGTAAATCTCAACACAAAAATCTTGAGCTCCCCATCAAAACTTTCTACGAGACGTTTGGCAGAACTCTGCTCGCACGCTTTTAGACATAGTAACCGTTGGGTAGAGTTTTTCAAAAGAAGTATCAAGCGCTTTAAGTCTTCTTAGTCCTCATGCACTTTGTGGTTCAAGGCGTCACCAGGCAGACTATGGCTGTCACAATTCAATTTCGTTTTTGTGTTCAGGCTAATAACACTTACAGAGAAAACCTACCGATAAATCACAACAACTCTCCCTAGGTTAAAACTGCTTTTACAGAGGTTGAAAACAACGATGGATTATACCCGCGCCTGAGGTCTTTCGTCTATCAATTCCTATTCAGTACTGAACTTACAGCACATCGGAAACCATTGGAATAAAGTATCAGTTCATAAGGACTTCCATCTGCACCAGCCGTGCGTTCGTGTCTCCAGGAAGACGGTACGGAATTAATCCCGCAAAGGTGATCAGGGCTCGCGCTTGGCGCCTCAAAATATCGCGAAACTGAAAGAGATCAGATAACTTTACCATTGACCAAGAGCTTAAACAGGATGCAATCTCCCACTGAAAACTTACAAGTCAAGTTTATGTGTAACAGTATATAGAGGTAGTACTTTAAGGATCGTGCACATTGGTCACACACACGAGAGGATCGAGTGATCCAGGTTTGAACCCATAATTCCTTTCTAGCCAGGAGTGTAAATGGGCATCAATCAGATGTCAAGGCAACCTGCAAATCTGTCCAGGGAGGGGAGTAATGAGCCCATTCTTCCCATCTCATTACGCGAATGAAACTAAATATATCACTGGCTGAGTGAACCAGTTCTTGCTGAGCCAGCAATGCAAATTATTGTAGTGAAGCAGCCTTACCCTCTCTTGTCCACCATCATCTCTCAGATTTCTCTGACTACCAGTCAGAGGACTCTGACCACTCCCTCTGAATAAATAAATAAATAAATAAATAAATAAATAAATAAGTAAATAAATAAACGTCCGAGTAAATATTACAAAAAAACATCAACACAATTAAGCAGTAGCACATCCATAGAACGGATCTGCGTTCTCTGATTACAAGTTGCACTGAAATTTGCAGAGTTGAATTCCGATGGGATGTAGACTGAAGAATCAGGAGAAAATTCTCTTAGCAAAGATCAAAACGAACCAAAATTCAAACTCCCCGAAACACTTGGTTCAGGAATTGTGCCTGCGCCACCGTGGAGACGAGCAAATGGTCTGCCTACTCTACTAACCTAACTGACATATGAAAAGGGATGAGGATGGACCAAAAAGGATCTCATCGAGTCAGAAAACAATAACACCAAATACTAAGTGGAATTATCACAAGTGAAATCACTTACCTAGCGTTACGATACTTTGTGTACAGGATGTTCATGGTTGCTAGAAGCACATCTGGTAAGTTTCGTCGTATCTGCTCGAACAACAGATGAACACAATTATTACTTCACACGTCAAGGAAAAATCACGAATAAGCAAATATCATTGCAAATGAAAAATCAACTCTAAAACAGTTCACCAGGACAGAAATGACTCAGTTTAAGAAAAGTAATTTCAATCTTTTATCCAACATTTGATTTAAAGGTAATGGATGCCAAGGAACTGGAAGAATGTTCATAGACAACAACTTTAGACAACTTTGGTAGGAGTAATTTACTGAAGAAAATACATTCAAATGTAGAAGTTGTGACCCTAAACAGTCTTTTTTCTTCTTCATTTCCCTACTTCATCATTGTACTGCCTGAAAGCTGTCACTCTTTCCTCTACTGCTTCAATCCCCAATGGAACTAGTCTTAGCTTCTGCATGACCTGTGAGAAAGACATTAAACTAAACTGTAAATGGTTTGAACTCAGGAATAGCAGTTGCTAGTGTAGTCTGAACACCAACGAGGCAAGGCTGTCCTTGAAACCCTCTGTTGTTGGCAAGAAGGGCTGTAGACTTAACAACCTGAATGGAGGTCATAGTGTTATTTGACTTGGATGGCTGCCTCTTATGCTTAACTCTAATGATGACTTCAGCTAAAGTTGTCCAACATAACTCACTACCACTGATATCAGTCAGTCCATTTCAGGATTACTCTCAACCAGAAAATTAGAAAAAAAATGCCAATTGTATGGTTGTAGCAAGTAGAAATCATTACCATTTATTCACTGAGTAATTCCCCTTCAGCTACTTTTGAAGAATTTCCAATTTTCAAAAAGGAAAAAAAATAGAAGGATCAAGAAACAGCCAATTTGTTTCAGGTGAACAAATTACAGAGAAATAAGAAAAAAGTGGGTAAAGTGCACTGACTTGAAAAAGATTCCCAATGGTACACAATCTATGTAAGATATTGATGGCCTTAGCTTGTTGTTTATATGTTCTGTAACAGATTTCTAAAAGCAGGAGATGTACAAAAACCCCTGCCAATATCTGTTCAAATACAAAACTCACATCTAAAGCAGTGTCATGTTGGCCAGCATGGTAGAGATCAAAGAACTGCATAAGATCCAACAAGAGGAAAAATGTGCCTATTCTACTTTGGCTTGCTGAATGACCCGATGTTCTGTATCTATAGGCAAAAATAGAACAAAGTATTGACTCATAAGGCATGAAATGTGGCAATTTTAAATCACAAATACATGACATTTATTAAATAACTTATGTTGGCTCGGATTAGTGCTAATGAGCTCTGCTCTTGTGTTTAAGTGGCACTAACCATCTGATTGCACTGCTTTAAGCTACACAAACAACAGATCAAGTCATGCATATGAATACATGTTTACAAATAAAATCCCAAAGGTAAATTTGATTCATCTCATGAGGTGTAACAATGTCAGAACCTTGCTATTTCTATAGAAACAAATTCATACTCTGTGATACCTACATATTTGATTGTACACCGTGCACACTGACTTGAAAAATGACATGTGTACCAGAAAGCACACCAGACCTAGTTTCTTTTACAAACAAACGTACCTCTGTGCTAAGTCAAAAGCCAATGTATGTAGTCTATCCCGTTGAGATTGAACACCACTGGATGCTGAAATCACCTAAAAAGAAATGAGGAAATATATATTTCTTTGTAATAAGTAGATACTTACATGGTAGGTACTCACTCTGACATTATTACCTTTTTAATTGCTGATCATAGTAACCTTTCTGTTGGTGGAGAGTGAAAACGCAGCTAATTTTAAGTTTTCAACATAAAAAATTTGAAAGGGTGGACAGGAACAGAAACAACTGCTTATATCACTAACATAGGGATAAAAATTTTGAAAAAATATTCCCAAAGCCAGCTATTTTTCATTGTTCCTCTGCTAATTCAAGTCTCTGTATTAAAGGTGAATCAATTGTTTTACAAAGTAAAGTGTATAGTCACTATATTTTCAGCCTTTGGCACCAGAGTGGAGTGAATTGTTCCAACAAGCATCTATGGCTTCCCTAGATTATATCAAAGTCTTGATTTCACACCATTACCTGACTAAGAAGTTTGTTCAGGATCTCCAGGGCTCCATCATGATTCTGTTGTATAGAAAAAAATAAAAAAACAAAGAATCATGAACTTATAGGTAAATTCGTGTCCACAAATAAACATGTAGGAAGTATTGGTCCTTTGTAAAAGAAATATCTGTGTAAAATAAGTGCACATGTACCTTGGCTAAATCAAAGAGTTTGACAGCCTCCTCAGACAAACCCTTTTCGGCAGAATCCTTTGCCACAACTTCAATGATTTTTGTAGTATCTCTGAGAAACTTGTCAATACAACCAGGCTAAAGGTATAACAAAAGAAACAATAGGTATTAACTAAAGATGTAAAAGAATCTTAGTAAAATAATTGCAAAGAAAAGGTATTGCATTTCCTTTTAGTACCTCTCTTAATACTGATCTCTTACCTTCCTCTTTCCATCTGGTTCTAGCTTTCCAAGTAGCATTTCAAACTGTTAAAAAACAGAAATAATAATCAGTTGATTTATTGACTGATATATCAAACAATCAATTGGGCATTTAGTCCACTCCCTCAGTAGGACTTTTGGTCATTTAGCCAACTCATTAAGTAATTTAAGGCACAAGGTCTTAGTTCCAGATTAAAATAATCTTTTGCCTACAGTAGTGTTATGAGAATTTATCATACTTGTGAACAGAAGATGATAGCAATAAAAGTAAATCAAATAAAACACACACTTACATTCAAAATATATTACAAACATGACCCCTTATTAAGAGTCAAACAGTCAGTCAGCCAGTCTGTCTGTCTACTTATCTATCAAATGAATAAAGGGGGTAAGTTTCTATAGAAACTGTGGTGCTGCATTGGTGGGAGAGTATAGCAGGTAATTTAGTGTTAACAACTGAGTTGAAAACGTAAATTGGCCACGAGTGTTAGCCTTGATGAAGGGCTAATGCTTGAAACGTCAGCTTTTTTACCCTTTATGGTGGCCAATTTACCTTTTCAACTCAGTTGTTAACACTAAATTACCTACTTATCCATCAGTCATTCAGACAGTCAGTCAGTCTGTCTGACTGTTGATCTGCCAATACAATTTAAGACAATCCACAATATGGAGTCATCAATCATCAACTTACCTCTCTAGTTTCCAAGACCAGTTCACTTACACAGGACATGAAGAGGTCTTCTCCCTGTGGTCCGTTCATTCCTCTACAATAGATGTAAAAATCAATCAGTTATGATGAAAAATTTGTAAAATGTGAACAATAAAATTTACTTTTCCTCTACAAATATGCAAATGAAATCTTGGTGTGAACATTGTGACACAAGGATTAGCACGTTTTGTTGTTGTTGTTTTTTAAGTGTTTGAGAGCTGAAAAAATAATTGCTGCTTATCAGAGAAGGCCTTTTCAAAATTGAAAAGAATACCACTTTTATCAACAAAATATGTTGATTTAGAAAATGGATATTACTAGAATGAAAGAATTTTATGCAAAAAAGAAAGCATTACTTTAAGTTGGAGAACCCTTCAGGATAATGATCCTTTCTTATTTCAATGAAGAGTGAAATCAAAACTCTAATTTGAACTCACCTCAACAAAAAGAAATATTGAAGAGCTTCTCTTGGATCAGTAACCTCAAATTTCCGTGTGTATGACATGATCAGACGTGCAAAGTTCAATCTTCTGTTGGGTTGAGGATCTCTAGGACTGGAAGTCACTGAAATAAACCCACCATTGTTGAAAAATTGTCAGTAACACATGCGTATTATTAACAAGGAGTCAACTGATGATTTCCAGACTCTTTGATGCATAACATTAGGAATATCAAAAGGCCAATGTAAGGGGGGAATAAAATAAAGCACTATGAAATTCATGGAACCATAAGAGGGGCCAGTCTGCCGAAAGAAAAGTGCAGTAGTGGTGCCCAAAAATTTTGGGCCCACTCCATGGTTTAGGGCTATTCATACAAAAAGGGATCCAAAGTACTTTTGAAGCTATCACATGTTGCACGAGGGAAAAATTATCTATCCATGCTTGAAATAGCTTTAAAAATTTATCTCATCATCTTTTAAATCACAGTACTTACAAAGTTGTGCTTGGATTGACTCAGGCAACAAAATAACATGCATCTTAAAGAGTGCAATGGCGAAGTGCACAGCATGACTTCTAAAGGCTTCCGCCCGTGACAAGAATTCTATGGCCTGTTCAAAGTGAAAGTAAATCATCTGATGAGTTACATGTACAGGTTTAACACTGTTACCCTGTTCCTCATTTGATGTACAACTTCTAGCATCACAAGACAATGCTCTTTACTCCTGGACTGTGCATTTTCCACCCACAAAAATACGACAGTGTGTTGCTAATACTTACAGCAACAAAGGTAAGACAGAAAGTATACTTTAGTTATAAAATGATGATAGCACCTTCAAGAGTCTGAGATAGGAAAAACAACAGGAAGTAAGTAAAGTATTTAGGTGTAAAGGAAACCTCAGACCATGGGTGGTTATCATTTACGCCAATCGTCTGAGTCCAGTTGTTCAAAGACTAGGTGGATAATGCTATCCAATGGATAAATTGCTATCCAGCCGAAAGTATTGTTGTTTGTCAGTTTCTAGCAAACCAATCTTTTGACTTTCTAGCCACAAACAAATCGTATCATTTTGCCCCACCTGCTCCTAAGATTTTTCATTATTCCTGTCTATACTTGTTATACTTGTTGTTATACCTGTTTCATACTTGTTACAAGTATGAAAAACCATGGTATAAAAAAGAACAGGACATTAAAAAACAAGTAGGTAGACTGTTAGAGTGGAATTTTGACAAAGTTATTAGAATGAAAACAACTTACTGCTTCAAACTGCCCGGTCAAAAACAAAACTTGAAAGTACAACAAAGGCTTTTGATATGCATTAAAGTGTGCTTCGCCTAACCAGAAGAAAACAGCAATGACTTCTTACTTCATTAGGAAATTATCAGAAAACACTAGAACACAACAAGACTTCTGACAGGAAAATAATAGAGAACTTAAAACTGTTGTTGGAAATGAGAATGTTAGGGGGATCAAAATGCGTTACTGATCCGATTTTGAAGTAAAGCAATACAGTAAAGCAATCTCATTTTGATGGCGTTGCCTGATTGTCAAGGTGAGGGTAGTCCTGAGAAGGACTGTTGTCATATGTGGTGAATGATGTTTTGACAGCCTGAGTGCAAGTTGTGAGTTGTTGTTAGTTGAGTGTTGAAAGTCTGGTTTGTGTTGACTGAATGGTAAGTTAAGCTTTGATTTTATTGGCTCTAAGACTCAACTTAAGCAACTCAGGGGGAATCAAAGGTTGTGAAATTTGACACCTTAATTTCTATGGTTTAAGTTATTTCATATTCAGACACTCTTCCACTTTACACAACTCTATTGTAACACTAATTAATACTTCATAATGAAAACCATGCATACCAAACTCTTCCAATAACATGGTCTGCAGCCTTTGGAAGGTAACACTATTGTTATTCCCTTCTTCCTCTTTAACAGTCACTTGACAGAGCTGTAAGATAATGACATTATTACGAAGTGCATTAACCAGCATAACAATCTTATGAAACGTTAATAAAACCAGTTTCTTGCAAACAATGTGTAACATGATGTACATGTAGTTTAGAACAAAGTTTAGCTCAAAATGGTTTCATACCAGTTCTTTTTCATCTTTCTTTGTTACAGACACATTTTCATAATCCTCAATTCTCAAAGAGCAATCAAGAAAAAAATATAGACAAAGCAATCATTGTAAACAATATATTTTTTTTGACATGATGTCTCTAATATTGCCTTTTCATAATCCTTTGGGTTACACTCTTCATTAATATCTGTCCAGTTTGTCAAGGAAAAAACTTCGCATGAACTGTGAAACATAAAATTTGGCCTCTCAAAGCATCAGTCATTTCTCCCATTTCTTATAATACAATGCAGCAGTATACCTTAAGCCACAGGTAGTCTTCAGTTTTGTTGGCAACTTCTTGATGAGAATCTGTTTGTACATCACACTGACCAATCAGACAGTAGACGGCCCTGTCAAGCAATGTAACCCAACAAACACTCATACTTATTTCAACAACTGGTCCACTAAACTGCTCATAAGTCTTGACTACAGAGTATTTATGCAAATAAGTCTTATCCAATTGGATGACTAAAGGTCATTAGCCAAGTGTTAAGGTTGATGTATTTCAGAAACTGTAATCAAGAAGAGTTTCCATTTTGCTGATTTTATACATCACTAAGCCAAAAATTTACCTTTTAAAGGGATCCTGACTTGTACGAATAGATCTTTTATACTGAAGCCGTAGTTTGCTTTCCGAGCTGGGACTGAGCCTAAGGAGAGATGACAACTTCCAAGATTAGGTTCATCTTTTACTCAAAGCACTCTCTATGTTAACAGGCACAATGTGGCAGGTCTGCATATCATCATTTACCTGCTCTCTTCGCTGTTCAAATATTCCACAAAAAAGTCTCGAAATTCTGCCAAATGCTGTCTGGAGTTCAAAGAAAAAAGTGTGATTGCACATAGATTAAAGAGCCAACATACATTACTATAAGTCTATAAGCTTTGAATCACAAATGTTGCAAACTGATTGGCTACTCTCCTTGTCATCTATTCTGCAATAGAAACTGAGGAAAGCAACACATTTTTGTTAATAAATAAAAACCTGAGCCTATCATTTTAGAATTGGAGTGACTACAGAATAGAAGACTTGTACTAAAACAATGAGATTATTTGCCCTGGTCATATAATAATATCTATATATGTATATGATTAAAAAAAAATCCTACTTACGGCACATGTTGCACTGCTTGTAAAGCTGCTTTAGGGTCTCCACATCGCAGACAGTAATAAATTAATGGCCACAGTGGAGCACCATCAACATCACCATCCTGTGGGGCAAAGCAAAAATTATAAATTTGGCTGTCTCCTTGGTTCAGATCATACATCTAATACATTTTGCAATAACAACCCTGATAACATGTTATATGTTAAACCAGAAACCTGCAGGGGAACTGACCTCAAGTCCTTGTACAACTGAAGGAAGTTTAATTTTCAAAAAACTCTTGACCAGTTGCAGAGTGCCTGGAACTCCTCCCAGCTTTGCTCGAGGCAAATTGCTATATACACTGTCTTGAACAAACTGCAAGTATCTAAAATAATAAGACACATGATAAGTCAGGCTCTTCAGCCAAATTAACAAATAAATAATAAAAAGAGAATGTGCTCTTCAAAAAGTATTACACCTTATATATTCACCTTCTTTCCAAGAAACTTCTGGCCATTTTAATAAATGCCACTTGAAAATCTAAGGAAAACCTGTCAGAGAGGAGGAAAACAGAAAGAAAAGAATAAAAGAGGAATTTTAGGTGTAACCTAAATTACTTCTTGTGCACAACCTTCTTCTTCAAAGTGATCTGCCCTCTCTCAAAAGTTTAAAGTTAACAAGAGGGGTTGTCCAGAGACTTAATGAGGCTTATGCTTTAACCTGCAAACACCTTGTTAAGACAAAATCAAGCTTACAGCAACAAAGACCTTTGTGTAAGTTTGTTTGTTAACTTTGCTTAATTCTAATTTAGCTGTAAGCATATTGATTTTACTGTGAGAATTTTGATTTCCCAGATTAACTTTTTAATTTTAAGTTGAATTTTGTTTTGTGATGGGCTAGGTACTTTGAAATTAGCCATTTTCAACGCCTTGAGATTTAACCCTTCACACTTTTACATCAGTATGTATATTCTCCATACTGTTCTCTATACATTTCCTCAGCAGCTGAAAAGGAGGATTTATTTAACAATCAAGAACTTCTTTGTGATCATTTCCTTTACTCTCATGACCTCAAAGTGTGATTCAAGGGTTATATTGTAAGGAGAAATTAGGTGCTAGACACACTTGGGGATCTTATTGCTCATACTGTTCAAAGTTTTACACTATTTAAGCAGTTACTTCACCCAGAAACAAATAGCTGTTATCGCCCGTGAAGTAATTTAACCGCTCATTCAAAAAAAAAAAAAAAACTTACCTAACTGTCTCTGCCAGAATATGCAAGGAACCATGAGACCTATGAAGTTCTTCTCCAAGTTCTTTGATAAACATCCACATCCCCTTGATGATCTAATAAATGGAGAAAAATCAGATTGACTCAGCTTGTAGATTAGTGGTAATAAGCTAGTCATTCAATCAATATGGTTGGCAAGTAGTATTCACCGGATCTTCAAATCTGTCAATAAGCGCTGTAAATCCATCCACTATGTTGTGTCTTGCTGACTGAATGAGGGCTTCATTATGGATATAAACCTGTAATGAAATTCAAGATAAAAAATTAGTTCAATTGAAAGATGTGTTTGAATGCAATTGCATTAACCCTTTAACTCCCAAGTCAAATTTGTAATTCTCCTTACTGTCCACCATAAAATTCTTCTTATGAAATTTAAAAAACGATCTCTGGCTAAAACTTTTAGAAATACAAGCTTTCGGCTGTTTGCACTACAGCCTTCAAAATAAAAAAATGATAAAAAGGTAAAAAATATTAGGTGTGAAGTACAAAGTAAAAATTAAAAATGCTGATAACTAAGAATGTTTGTTAAAAAGAATGTTGTATTGTCCGGGCAAAGGACAGGAATTGTTGTCCGCATTGGGAGTTAACTTGGAATGCCACGCTTCTAGTATTTTTCTTGTTCTGAAACCGCCTTTGTCAATAATAGATGCATTATCAAAGTCTATTGCATGACTATTGGCCCAGACGTGATTGGCTGTTCTTGTATTTCTAAAAGTTTTAGCCAGAGATCGTTTTTTAAATTTCATAAGATGTTTTATCCTGGCTGCGGCCCCTCTATCTTTTCACATAAAATTCTTATAATGCTAGTTCAGAGAATTTAGTATTGGATCAACTAATTATCCCCAAATTAATATTTTCCTTCATTCTCAACACTTATCTGGTTGATATTGTATTGATAATGTGAAGAAATTCTGTCTTGGTCACTCATGGGAGTTAAAGGGTAAAGATTGATAGGAAATTAAAATAATAAACTCCTTGGGTAGGTAATCACTAGAGTAATAAAAACAAACCACCAAAGACTATGGGTTGGAATAGTTTAAAGATGGAGTACTGTTTGACAAGACTGCAAATAGTCAGATTGAATTAATAAGTATATGAAACCTTAGGAGGGCAATCAACAACAATCTATATACTTGAGTGCTTTCTTGCATCAGCACTTACAGATCATTACTTGCTATTTTATACTTCACCTGTCTGGCATAAGCTTGTTCTGTAGCATCAAGGGCACTTCTACCTTGTAAACTCAAAGAACTTGTTGTGAACACCTTAGCATAGAACAAAAATAATTAATAAAAAAAAAATTGTAGGAAGAATACATCACAGTCAGTCAAGTGCAGTGCATCCCAGTTCAAAGCAGCATTACTAGCACACAGTATTACAACTAAAGATGATTATTTCAAAACAAACCTCTGCTTCTCCTGAGAAATCTAGTGTCTCCTGCCCAGCTCCCAGTAGCGAGTTGAGAATTTTCTCCTTTTCTTTTTCCCATTCACTCTCCATACAGGACCACTGATGTCTTTCAGCCTGATTAAATGTCTGATTGAAGAAATGGTAAAAGGAATATTTTAAGAGAAGGGTTCAGTATCAATAAACTGTTGATTGAAAAATTACTGAGTCCAAACAATAATAAAGCTCACATTTTCTCTTGCTTCCTCTATGGCAGCCAAAATTGCATTTTCTCTCTCATTCCGAAGGAAACCCTGCAAGATAATTGTCAAATGAAAATTATAAGGATAATTTACACAAAGGAGTGAGTATCATACGAAACAGAAATCCACTAAAAACACAAAACAATTGGCAGCAGACAGTACCAAGCTTTACCTGAATATCAGTCTCTCTAACAGGCTCAAGAGGTTCAAATGTCTTTGTGGTGTCAAGACGATCTAGTTTTTCTGAAAGGCGTGGGACATCAAAGCCTTTGGTGCCAAGTAAAATGGAACTGAGAAAGCAAAAAAAATTTTTCTAGAGAGAAATTTTCAACTGAGTATCAAAAGTCATAAGTCGCATTGTTTTTGTTTTACTACCTTGTGATTGGACTAGAAAACTTGCACCACTATTTTCACTAATCTGTTGTAACTAGCCTTTGTTACCATTTTGGTTTTATTTTCACACAATTTCATTGACAAAGAATTTTTGGGAAGCAGGTGTTACCTACATACATGAGACACTTGTACACTTTATACCCAACAGTACATATACATTCCATTTTCCTATTTGAACCACCCCTTCCCATGGAAGGCAATGTTTGGGACAAGGCCTACCCTTTACAGGTGTCAACAACAAGATATAGTAAGCTATAAATTTGGCCTCCCTTTGAGAAGAGGGATGGGGGATTGATTACAAAAAAACTGGAATGTCCATTACTGTGCAAAACATCATTGAGAATTACTGGTGGCATTAACGAAGTGGACAAAATAAGATGATTGTGTGTTAATCTCCCTCTGGACCAGTGACAAAGAGAAGGAGTATTGGATACTTTAACAATGACCCCTCAAGCATATAATGCTTTCATTTTTCATCATGTTTAATAAACAAATGATCTTACTTACTTACTTCCTAACCTAACAAACAACAATGCCTCCGTATTATCTGACGTGGACAAAAACCAGATGTAATGTGAGTAGGACCTGGACAATCAATGAAATTACTGATCAATGAAAATTGATGACAATTGATAACAATCAATTGATTGATATTGATAATCAGTGAACAGTTGATGCAAAAGTTTCTGCAATTTGTTATTCTCATTGATTGTCAATAATCATTGAAGATAGATTGAAATCAATCAATTAGATAGCACAGCTTTTCGATTATCAATAATCATCGAAAATCGTTTGAAATCGATCAATTGGATAGCATCGAAATTTCATCTCAAACCGATGGTAATCGATAAACATAAATTACTACTACGTGATCATCGATTGTTCATCGATTGGCCGATACAAATCGATAACAAGGAACAAATATGCATAGATTGAAATCGATTAATCGATCAGATTCCCGATCATGATTTCATCGATTGTTCAAGTCCTGTGTGAGGCGCTGACTCGGATCGATAAGGAAGTGTCATTAGTTTATTTGAAGCCCAGTTTTGTTTGATTGTTTAGCATATTGAACACACTTACGCCTTCACTTGAACATCAGCTCCAGAAACACCAGTCGTTTGAGACCATAACCTCTGACCAGCCTCTGCGAGTTGATGGAGGTTTCTCTCGACCCTAGGCAACTCCCAGCCACTGTCCATATCGGCAGTCAATTGCTCTGCCTGCTGCAGCAAATCTCCAAAACTCGAAGACATGATTGAAAACAAAACGCGCCAGAATACTAGAGTTAAGCTCTAAAATAACTATATCTTCTGGGCTTCCCGAAAAATTCGCGCAAATGATGGCTTAGTTTGTAATTTTCGTAAAGCCCGCCATGTTTCCTTTCCATGTGCTTTGCACGAAAGCGCATGTCCATCGTGGCACCGATTTAACCGCTGGTCACGCAGCTCGAGGGAAGCACTTAGGACCATGTTGCTACTTAGAAATTAAATTACAATTTTGAATGACACATAAATTTAAGAAGAACTCTAGAAGCACGAACCCACCATGCAATAAGCTAGCGCACTATAGTTAGCTAGCATTTCTGTGGTGGACTTCGCCATAACAAAGGAGAAAATCTTCAGTTTTTTGGAGGCGAGGTTGAGAACATGCACAGTCGTTGTTGTAGGATCTAATTTTTTCATCCGGGATTTCCTCTTCTGTCACTACGTTACGAAGAATTTCCCGGAGGGCGGTGGGGGGACACTTTTATTTCGCTTAAGGTATTGGGAAGCGCCACCAAATGAATATGAGGTCATTCTCTCTTCTTGGTCCACAGCCTGGGGTATCTCCCTGGGAATGGTGACCTTAAATGGAAATAAAACAGTATTTCGGTTGATAATTTCAGGCTCGTTTAACAAATATTACCAAATAAGGAATATTGGTGAAGGAAAAAACGGTGTTAATCACGTGATTGAAGAGTATCCCATCAAGCGTGTGTTGTTATTGTCCATAATCAGTTCGCAAGGGAAAGGTCATCGGTAATATTAAGTTCCCTATACGCATTTTCCAATCTCTTATCCAAGTTTGTTTTTCAATTTTACTGTACGTCCACCATAAATTCAAGATGCCTGTAACACCCGAAGACCTTGTGGGTCTTTTGGCCCTGATCACGGGCGAAAGGAATTATCAGATCACAAATAGCCAGCGCCTGAAAGGAGGATTTCTGACAGGCATTGGAGCCACTGTTGGCGGTGTGTGTGGTGGACCTTTTGGTGTTGTTGTGGGAGGCCTAGTCGGCGGATCACTAGCTGCTTGGAAAGGAAAATCGACCACAATACCATTAGACCAATACTTGATGGATATGGACAAAGAACAGAGGCAAGCGATGTTTGCGTATATGAATTACCTTATAGAAGATAGCCATGTTCAAAACTTTGTTGCCCTGAACGCTAAAGTTGCCACCGACCCCGATCTCAAACGACGATTTTTGGATGTGCTGTTGTGCTATTTGAAGGTAGAACTGAGGCTCAATGTGATCGAATGAATGAAGAGAATGAAGGAAAGGAGCTTGTCGTCACTAGAACAAGAACGTGGTTGAAATTGGAAAGGTTCAATTGAATTCAGAAAAACAGGAAACCTGAAAACCATGTGGAAAATTTCACAAAACTGGCAAGGATAACAGTAAAAATTTTCCAGTAATTTATTGTCTATCACTATTTCCATTTTGCTCTATTGTTTAGGAAAGTTTTGAAATACGCATTGACACTAGATTTTCTACAGAGCCGCACAAACATATGCAAATAACCGTGCATGATAAAATGATGGAAGTTATTCTTGTTTTCACGACATAAAACAGTTTAAGACTTTTTCATCTAAAAAAAAACTGTGATGCTTTGTTCTTTAGTATACTTGAATGATTCTTGTTCAATTTATCGTCTTTATTTCCCGTCAGGTTGTAGTTTTGAGGGTAGCTCTTATTCAAATAAGAAACATTTTTGGCAAAAATCTACCATTGCCATGGCGAGTTTTAACCCATTGATCACATTTTATGAATTTTAAGAACTGACAACAGAACAATGCGATTTCGATAAAAATATACTTTTATTGAAATAACAATATATATCAGGAAAGTGTATCTTGTTTGACCGTGATTCTGAATGATTTTTACTCGAGCGAAACATATTAGCAAGGAGGACGAGCCAGTTTCACTAAGCCTGCACTCTCGTAAATGGACAAACTCGCGAAAATTTAGCTAGCGGAAAACCTGTCATTTTTCTGTTTCTTTTTTACTTTCTTC